GGCTTCGCCTACCAGCCCCAAGCCGCTTCCGGGCCGCCGCCGCCACACCCCTGGGAAGCCGGAGAAGACCAGATCCCCGGCGGCGGCGGCGGCGGCGGCCAAGGTCTGGGCGTCCAGGACGTTGCTATGGCAGCGCCCAGCCGGACCCAGAGCAAAGGGCCCTCCGGCCAGCGCGCGGTCAGCGTGCGCCCAACGCCCTGCGGGACCAAAAAAAAAAAAAAAAAAAAAACCTTGTGGATGAGTCTGGGTGGACAACACTGGTCCACCCGGAGAGGGCCTTCCTAGCACCCGTTCCCCAGGGCACCACCATCCCTGGGGGGCTGGACACTCGATGTCCTTAAAACAGGAGTGGGGAGCCACATCCCAGGAACTTTTGGTCCTAGCTGCCATCCTCTGGTTATCCATCCACTACTGTCCTAGCTTATGCTTTGAAATTAGAAATATCTATTCATCCTCATCTTTTACGCACAACCTCCAAGACAGGTAGCAACAAAACAATGTAAAATTAAATGGAGGGAAAAGGGCAAGAGGAAAATCTAGGGTAGTAGAAATATTCTACATTTTGATTGTGGCTGATTACAAGAGAATATACATTCATCAAAATTTATGGAATGGAATGCTTAAAATTAAGGTTGTATTTTATGTATTATACTACAATAAAATTGTTTAAAATTTAAGATTTCTTATATCCAAGATACATTTTAAAGGAATTTTTCTTCTCTTATGGGTTGGCAGCCTAAACATAACATTTTGAGAAAGGTGCAAACCAAAGAACTCCCCAGGTTTGTCTTCTGAAAAAGATGCACTGCCAAAATGCTGAAGGGAAAAAACAGATGGTGGGGTACTTCAGCCATCAAGTTTCCCTCCAGTTTTTACAAGGCCATCGTATTTACCTTATAAACTTGTGTGGGGGTTGCATTATTTTCTGGAGAGACCAAAATATTTCTAGTAGCAACTTGWAGACTTCAGGCCTCTCATTTTGGGGGTCTTCTGGGGGCTGCCAGTGGTTACCACAGAGATCAAGATGCTGAGGGAAAGCCAGACATTCCTCAATCCACCGGGGAGTCCCTGCTTGGACCAACCACCAGGAAAATTTTTTTCTTTCCTAACAGCCAAATGCGTGAACAGAAGAAAGGAAAATACAATTCAGAGTAACTGAAAGCAAAGTTATAATATCAAATATTTTTAGCACAAAATATTGTGAACTAGAAATAAACCCACAGGAAAGCAACCAGGAAACAAAGCATGCGTTTCGTATAAACCACACAGACAGATAATTTCTAATAGGTTTTTGGGAAAAAATAACTATCAACAACTCACTGCAGCCTAGCATAAAAGTCTTAAAGACATAGATAGGTTTCACAATTTTGATTCTTCCTTTTACTTGCTGTCTAATTTAGAATAAATCTGACAGCCTTAGACCTCAGTTTCCCCATCTGTTGAAGGGTATCAGGATACCGACCTGGCAGGTCTGTGGACTGAGGGCTCCATCCACTGGGCTGCAGGATCAGCGGGAACAAGGGCTGTGGTCTCTCTTGCTCACTGATGTATCCCCAACACCTAGCGCAGGATCGGCACGGAGAGGGCGTTCAGAATTTGGACTCGTGAATAAAGAACTATGAATCAGGCGCTCAGTTAAGGAGATGTCAGCTCCTGGACTCATGTCCCTATTTTTTCCGCCTTGTGTTAGAGGGATCAACCCTTGTTCTGGATCAAAGGCCTCGGGGCAGAACGTGGAAGCGGCCCACGCGCCGCCGCTGCGGTCCTGGAGAGGAGGGGAGCAGGCCCGAGGCACCCATCTCTGTTCGCTGCCACCACTCCAATCTAGGGCATTTGCGGTTCGCCACCCTTGCCCCTTTGGTCAAAGCTCTGTCACAAGATGGCCGGAACAGGAAAGAAGGGGGATTGCTTTCCTGTTCCCTCCGTCTCCCGACCCTCCGGCAGGGCCCCAGCAGAGCCCCTAGACCTGCACCGCGTCTTGCTTCCCTGCGCATGGCACCGCGGGCCTGCTGAACCCGCAAAGACAAAGAGGGATGCGGGGTCCAGTGGGGCCTTGGCACCTTCTTAGAAAGCAAGTGGGGATGGGGGATGCGGCAGCCACGTCACCGCGATCCGCAGTGGCGCGGAACGTTGCCGAAGAGGCGGGAGGAGGACCGGGTCTCAAACGCTCCAAGATGCCCTTGTCCAAGGCGGGCCCCCTCGGGCGCCTAGGCGCATCCCCGGCCTCGGCTTACCCCAGCTGCGCGCTCCTGGGCGGGTACCGGGCGCTGCAGGCTGACGGAGAGTCTCAGGGGACCCAGATCCCAGGGGCTCTGCTGGCTCAGGCGGGGCTCGTGGAGGTCGAGGAGCAGGCGGGCGGACTCCTTCTTCCAGGGTGCAAGATGAAGCGTGTCTCGTCTGGGCAAGTTGTGGCGAGGCCGGTCGCCTGGCGCCGCTCAGGGCCTTCCAGACTCCAGGCCACTGGCGCCTCAGAATCCCCCACCCCCCTCCCGCCCCCAACCCCTCAGCTATCTCCTTCGGCCCTCTTCCTCCGCTGCCCAGCTCCTCTGGCTGTTGGGCGGGACTGTGCGCATCTAGACTGCAGCGCTAAAATGCGCTCCTCCAATCCGGGAGCTGGAGCAGACACGTGGTGCTGGGGCGCGCTCTGTTGCTGGCATGAGGTTTTATCCCCGGGAAGACTTTTCAAAAAGAAACCAGATTCACTCCTACCCTATGTTAGACGAGCCCAGCTAGTTAATTTCCCAAGGGCTTATGTGAATCTTTATCCGAAAAGAGATGCATTTTAACCACAGAAGTCTACCGATGATAAGGACCTTGAAGAGGCTGTATGCAGCCCTGCATTTGAATGATGTAGAAAATGAGACTGGGGTGCTAGAGCACTCCAGGATTTAAATCCAGATTGGTTTCCGCTTGTCTTGCAGCTCTGCCCACTTTAGGATGAGATTCCTGCATTTCTCTTGGTAGAAAGTTTGAGAAATTTGAATTGGTCTTTTGCAAAATCATTGTCTAGAGTAGGAAACAAAAAGAAAGGAGTAGCTGCAAATTTTTTTACTGGACAATATGTAAAGATGACTTCCCTTGTGCTGCTTTCTTTCTGACTGAATCAATCATACCATGCACAAGTCTTAAAATATAGGTGATGATAAGTATGCATGTTGAGTTCCTTGATTTAGTTGAAATCATCACAAGGCCTGGGACAGCTGTGATGGAATTTTATATTTGTCTAATTTTAGAATGCTTTGAATTTGAAAGAAGATTTAAGATTCCAATCAAAATAATCTAAGTACTATGGGTAAAGTTTTTTAGGTAGAAATTTCAGGCAATATGAGGCAGGTAGTACCACTGCTTTGCAAAATCTATAACCTATAGTGGGGTGTGTGTGTGTGTGTGTGTGTGTGTGTGTGTGTGTGTGTGATGGTTGCTTTACTAATATTATTTGATAAAGTAACCCTTGTGTTACATGGAGCCCCCATTTCCCACTGTCCATATATTATCCCACAGATGTAGAGTCACGATAAATAAGATGAAGCAATTAACTTTGGTGCCATACATTCTTGAATTTTTTTTGCTAATTATTAAGCTTTTAAAAAATGGATATCTTTTTCTCTCAGACTATGAGAACCTCAAGTGTTCTAGAATATTGAAGATAATAAGTAAATCCTCAAAGATGTATTTGGTTTTTATGACAGATACTTCCAAAATTTTGTTGTGATTGTTCCCCACACCTGTTTCCTTTGCATTTTTTCTTTAAAAAGAAAATCATGGGCTGGGGATGTGGCTCAAGCGGTAGCGCTCGCCTGGCATGCGTGCCGCCCGGGTTCGATCCTCAGCACCACATACAAACAGAGATGTTGTGTTTCTTTCTCTCTCTCTCTCTCTCTCTCTCTCTCTCTCTCTCTCTAAAAAAAAGAAAATCATGTTCCTATAGTTTTAGAGCTGTTTCCACAGGGAGAAAAATTAGGTGGCTATATTCAATATACATCATAACTTGGCACCTGAATGTGAGAGCCACATACTAAGACTGGTAGGGCAGGACAGTGTTGTAAAGGTGCGATATCAGTCTTTGACCTGCCTGCGTCTACACATCTTTGTCAGGTAAACTTATTTTTTTTCAAGCCACTTATTTGAGTGTTCTATTTTATACACAAAATCAAATTTTAGCTAGAGCAGTGGCCCACACATGTAATCCCAGTGGCTCAGGAGGCTGAGGAAGAAGGATTGCAAGATCAAAGCCAGCCTTAGCAATCTATCGAGGCTCTAAGCAACTTAGCAAGTTCCTGTCTTAAAATAAATAAAATAAAATAAAAAGGGCTAAGGATGTGGTTCAGGGGTTAGCCACCCCTGGGTTCAATCCCCATTACCAAAAAAATAAAAATAAAAAAATCTGTTTAACTGTTAACTAGTCCTCCCACACCCCATGATTATTCTGATGATCACAGGGTCTTCTTGGGGTAATTCAACTCCAGTTGCTTTCATTGCCACTCAAGAATTAAATTTCTGGGAGAGAGATTCTAATTGTATTAGTAATGTGCCTAACTGAGTAGTTGGTTAAAATCAGCATATAAATGACATATTATAGGGCTGGGGTTGTGGCTCAGTGGTAGAGCACTTGCCTAGCATGTGTGAGGCACTGGGTTCAATTCTCAGCACTGCATATAAATAAAATAAAGGTTCACCAACAACTAAATTTTTTTTTTTAAGAGAGAGTGAGAGAGGAGAGAGAGAGAGAGAGAGAGAGAGAGATAGAGAGAATTTTTAATATTTTATTTTTTAGTTCTCGGCGGACACAACATCTTTGTTGGTATGTGGTGCTGAGGATCGAACCCGGGTCGCACGCATGCCAGGCGAGCGCGCTACCGCTTGAGCCACATCCCCAGCCCCTAAATTTTTTTTTTTAAAAAAAGACATGTTCTATCAGAATTATATGAAGAATAGGACAGTGGTCCTGAAATGAAGGGATCTGCCCTGCTTAGAGAAAAAGTAAAAATAAATAAATAATATTAAAATTAAAAAGAGAAATGTAATGTCCATGACATTCCACTCCTTGGCACATGTTAACATGAATACTCTTCTCTCTATACTTATGTTTTACTCCATTTTGTGCTGTTACAGCAAAACACATAAGGCTGAGTAATTTATTTATTTAAAAAATATTTATTATTTAGTTGTAGTTGGACACAATGTCTTTGTTTATTTATTTTTATGTGGTGCTGAGAATCAAACCCAGAGCCTTGTCAGCACTCTACCAATGAGCCACAACCCCAGTCCCAAGACTAAGAAATTTATAAAGAACAGAAGTTTTATTTTCTCACAGTTCTGGAGGCTGGGAAGTATAAGATCAAGGCTCTAACAGGTTTGATTGTCTGATGCAAATCCCATCTCTGCTTTCAAGATAATGCCTTGATGCTGCATCCTCCAAAGGGGAAGAATGTTCTGTCCTCATGTGGTGAAGGGATAGGGCAGGAGAATCAGATGCTTTGTGTAGCCTTTTTAAAGTACCTTAATCCGATGCACAAGAGCAGGAAACTTCATGTCCCAATCACCTCTTAAAGATCCCTCCTCTTAATATTTTCATGCTAGCAAAAATACCTGAATTTTGGAGGGGACATATCCAAACAATAGCATTATACTATTTTTAAAAATCTTTTGTTAATAGAAATACCTTATGCAGTTATTGTGCTCCTCACTGTGAGGCTAATGAATAGTACCTCCCACTGTCAATGCCAAGAAGATCCATGAGTTGGCAATTTCTGGATATATCAGTTTTTACCTGGACTCCTTTTAAATTCTGTCTTATTTCTTCAATCTGTGGTGTCAGAGATAAACTTAACCTCCATGGATAACTTTTACGAAGAATAGAAAAGGAAGAAAGAAAAGATGAGGAAATTATTTTTATATTTCATGATCCATTAAGAAATCAAAGTAGTAGCAATTCAGATTACTGAGAATGTTCAGATTGTGCATTGCATAGAAACTCCACATCTAAGGGGGCATTATTCATTGTTGACATGTGTTGAATTATAAAACTAACAGAAAGAATTATAGAGCAGAAAGATGAAAAGAACTTAAGTCTTTAAAAACATTATTGAGCAGAAGATCACATTGTCTGTCCTACATCTGGATTTTCAGCTAAGTGAGATGGCAAACTATTTTCTTTAGTAATCCAATTTGAAGAATAAGAAACAGTTAAAACCATAGAAAATATTAGCACAATTATATAAATAATCAATTATAAATGAATTGTCTAAATAAGTCTAAAAGCAGAGATTTTCAGAGTGGATAAAAAACTTAAACCCAATAATATATCAATAAGAAACCCACTTTAGCTGGGTGCCATGGCCCATGCCTGTAATCCCAGCAACTCAGGAGACTGAGACAGAATTGAAAGTTTGAGACCACCCTGGACAACTTAGTGAGATTGTAGGTCATCAAACATACTTTAAGAAATGAAAAAGAATACAAAGTATAAACCAGGCTCATACCTGTCATCCCAGCTACTTGTGATATTAAGGCAGAGAATTACAAATTCAAGACCAACCTGGACAACTTAGTGAGACCCTGTCTCAAAATAAAATTTAAAAAAGGGCAGGGGATATAGCTCAGGGGTAGATCTCTTACCTAGTATGTGCCAGGCCCAGGGTTCATCCCCACTACATATATATACACATAAACATATATATACACACACATGCACACACACACACACACATATATAATTTAATAGAATGTTAGAACAGATTTTGAGGTTATTAGATCAAGAAGCATGGTCATGGGCTGGGGTTATGGCTCAGCTGGTAGAGCTCTTGTCTTAGCGCGTGCGAGGCCCTGGGTTCGATCCTTAGCACCACATAAAAATAAATAAATAATAAAGGTATTGTGTCCAACTGCAACTAAAAAATAAATATTAAAAAAAGAACGAGCCCAACATGGCCGCCGGCGAAGAGGCAGCACATTCAATGCGTCCGTGGTAAGGGGATCAGAGAGACTCATTAATACACCCACATGCGTCAGGCTGAGAAACTTCAAGCAAAATTCCACTGAAAGGAGACCTACCGGGAACTAGTAAGTTTAATTGGAGGTGT